GGGAGAGGGAGAGAGAGGGCACTAAAGGGAAAAGGAGGAGGACTGGGGATACAGCTCAATGTGAAGACCCTAGGTTCAAACCCCAGAATCACACAAACAGAATATGTTACCCAAAAGTTTAAGAGGAAAATCTGATGAAGATGACTGCGGGGATCTGGAACTTCACAGCATCTTTCTGGAGGAGGAGAGAGCTGCTGGCACACCTGAGGCTGTGCGTGTGCTCAGAAAAGTTGTGAGAAGGCCCTAAGCTTTCACCTCTGACCTGGAAGCTCTTGCAGAAGCAGGAAGTGAGGACCAAGGCAGAGCTGGAAACAGACTGTCCAAGTGCCCACTGTGTGCTGCAGCCCGAACACAGAGCCCCTCAGCAAAAATGATAAGATTTTGCTGTTGTTTCACTAAATTCAGAAATCTCTCTCCAATCATTAGGTAACTACTAAGAGAACGGAACAAACTTTAGTGCACAAACACAGCAAAGAACACAGACTTTGCAGAATTAGTTCAGAAGAGTCTCAAAAACAAACAAACAAACAAAAAACCAGCTGGGCATAGATAGTAGTGCATGCCTGTAACCCCAGCATTTGGGAGGCTGAGGCAGAAGGATTGCCTCTACTTCAAGGCCAACCTGAATTACATAGTGAGGCCCTGTCTCAAAAAATTTTTAAAAATAAAAATTGAGGCCAGTCTGGGCAACTTAGCAAGACCCTGTCTCAAGATAAAATAAAAGGGTAAGGATATGAGGATATAGCTCAGTGGGAGAGCAGCCCTGGGTTTGGCCCTTAGTACCTCAAAAAAAAGAGAAAAATCCTAGGGAAGATGTAATATTTATAAACCTAGGGCTGGGGATTTAGCTCAGTGGCCCTGCACCTGCCTGGCAAGAACAAAGTCCTGAGTTTGATTCCTAGTACAAAAAACTAACAAAGCTTTAAAATAGGGAGTTCAAGGCCAGCCTGAACTATGTAATGAGACCTCATCTCAAAACAAAACAAAACAAAACAAAAATTACCAAAATTACTATTATCAGGAGGAAAAAAGGAACTTTACTACTTTATGGTGCGGGGGAGATGTCAAGAAATACTGTGAACAATTGCAAGCCAACAAATATGGTAACTTAGCCCAGCAGCCTTGGACTTGAGCAGTATTGAGGGAGGAGACGTGGAGGTGAGGGTTGGGACAGGTGAGGGAGGAGCTCTGCCCAGCACCCCCGCTCTTTCCCTGACCTCCTTGCCTCTAGTCTCACTTTGTAGCTCAGGCTGACGTTGAATTTGCTATGTACCCCAGGCTGATCTGGAACTAGCAGGGATCCTCCTGCCTCAGCCTCCCAGAGTGCTGGGATCACAGCATACATCACAATACCCAGCTTGTCCAGATCTTTCTTTCTTCCTTTCTTGTAGTCCAATTTTATTTTCTTTTTGATGAGTTGTTCAGATATTTATTAAACATTTTCAATCCTATTTTATATAAGCGTTCTCAACAGTGGAAGTATACTATCATGCTTGATTTTTTCCCCCCTAGTACTGGGAATCGAACTCGGGACTTTACGCTTCAAGGCAGCAACACTGAGATAAATCCCCAGGCCTGTCTAGATCTTTTTGACAAACTTTTCCCTTTGCTGTCAGAAAAGCAGCTAATAGGGCCCAAGGATGCAGCTCAGTAAGAAGGCTTTAGAAGAGCTTTGTTTTGCTTCTTCTCCTACAAGGAATGTGGACTGTTATTCTCTAAGGTTACCGTTGAGTAAGAACCTAGGGGCAGTGATTGCGAACTTTTTAAAGCTTTCGATGAGAACACACAGCTCCCTGCAGCATGCATGACATAGGCTTGCCAACCACTGGCCCATCGTAAGCTGAAACTCCACAGATCTTGCAGTGTTTACCAAGTCACTTTGGTTTCTTGAACAAATACTCATTGAGTTGCTACAAATCTTCGGTTAATTTCTGGGGTTGTGAAAAGCCGATTCTCATGTGTGTGTTTTTCCCATTGTTTTCATGGAGGGGTGGAGCTTTGGGTTTCTTACTGTGCATTGTGTCATCATTACCCACATACAATAGTTCCTATCACACCTGTTCTCCAGAGCAATCCTGCTAGAAGTGTACTGTTGTCTTCGTCTCACAAGGGAGGAAACTTCTTCATTCCCTGTGTATTACATTGGGAACTGTGAAAGGAACCAAAGTAGTCGGTGTAAGCAACACAGCTTATTTTTCACACAAAAGTCTCAAAAGGTATAACAACAGCATTGCTCTTCAGATCCAGCAGGCTTCTTTGTTCTGGTTGCTCTCCACTTCCATTTCTAGGCTGTTATTCTTCTTGTCACCTTCCATCCATTAAGAGGGAGAAAAGGGAGAGGGAAACCATGCCTAGTCTTCCAGCACATCATCTAGTACAAACATTCTAGCCCTCTTACTCCCATTGGCTGGAAAGGATCACATGGTCACCTATAGCTGCAAGGGAGCCTGGAAATGTAGTCCCTTATCACATAAGTCATATGGAAAGCTAAAGTCTCTATAACTGTGAAAGCAGGGAGAATAGAATCTGTCATATATATCCTCTTGGAACCAGGTTTCCAGGGGGCACAAAGAAGTTTATGGTGATAAATATGATAGCATATGCCTGTAATCTAGGAGGCCAAGGCAGGAGGATCGCAAGGTTGAACCCATCCTGGGCAACTTAGTGATTCAGCAAGAATGTTATTTTCAAAATAAAAGAACTAGGGATACAGCTCAGTGTGAAAGCCCTATGTTCAATTTCTAGTAAAACACACACCCACACACATAATGATGTTTGGGCCACATGGTGTCATGGTTTAAAAATAAAGTTTCTAGCCAGGTGTGGTGATCTGTAATCCCAGCACTCGGGAGGCCGAGGCAGGAGGATCACTGTGAGTTCGAGATCAGCCTGGGCTACATAGTGAGTTCCAGGTCAGTCTCAACTACACAGTGAGACCTTGTCTCAAAATAAATAAATTAATAAAAAAAAAAAAAAGTTTCTAGCCAGGGATTTAGCTCAGTGGTGACACCACCTTCCTCAAAATCGTAAGGTCCTGAGTTCAATCCCTGGTACCAAGAGGTTTGAATGGGAGGAATAAATAAAAGATGTGGGTACGCTGGGCTTGGCGGTAGAGTGAGTATGTTTACCTTGCAAGGAGTTCCTTTATCATTCTCCAGTGCCTGGGTAGAATGCCCAGTTCATCTCTGTGTCAATACCAAGAGCATTTATCTGTGTTGGCCTGGGACCACCCTTTGTCCCCTGCGTGTCTGAGCATCCGACCTCACCCCCTACTCCCTCCTGGGTCCCACTACTTATTCCCTCCCAGCAGACCATGAAGTAAATGGGTCCACGCCTAGGTTTGGCAGACAGGACCACTACGAACCAGAGGGGCCACTGCCAGCCAAATCACACATCACTGCGGGGCAAAACTGAGGGATAAAAGCAGTGCCCCGCAGTGCTGGAGTTTCTCTTGGGGCTGGGATTTGTCAGCACACCCCACTGAACCAACTGTCTCCCCTTCTTCCCCAGAGTGGGGTCAACAACGGACTAGTCCATGCCAAGGACTCTATCATCAGCTTGAAGGAAAAGACCAGCCGGGTAAACCAGCACGTGCAGACCCTGCAGGTGTGAGGACCTCCCTCCCCTCAACACCTCCTCTTCCCCAGCTTAGCTGTTCCCCCTCTGGATAGAGCCTGCCTCCCACTGGGGAGCTGAGGCTTAGAAGGGAAAGGGCCCCCAGGCCCAGAACCCCCTCCCCATGCACGGCCTGTCCCTGCTCCAGAGCGAATGTTCCCTGCTGAGTGAGAATCTAGGGAGAAGGCGGCAGGAGGCTGAGGAGCTGGAGGGTTACTGCAGCCAACTCAAGGTGAGAGGCTGGGGCAGGCGAGGGGTGCGGAAAAGGCCAAGGAGGCCTGGAGGAGGCGGGAGGAGGCGAAGGGAAGCTCCCCGACAGCCTGGCCGAAACGGAGGCCAAGGGTCTCGAGGCGGAGCTGGACGGGAAGGCAGGGTCCCCGCCTGGTGTCCTGACCCAGGAGAACTGCAAGAAGGTGACCCGCTCGGTGGAAGATGCTGAAATCAAAACGAACGTCTTGAAGCAGAACTCAGCCCTGTTGGAGGTAACGGGGGGTCCAAACCTCGGGGTCCCTGGGGCGGCTCGGGGGTGGACGGGTTGCTGCAGGAGGAAGCTGGACGCTGTGACCCGCGCTTCCTCTTCTGCCCAGGAGAGACTGCGATTCCTCCAGCAGCAACTTCAGGACGAGACGCCGCGGAGGCAGGAGGTCGAGATGCAGGAGCTGGAGCTGAAGCTGGAGGCCGGCCTCGCCCGCTCCGGCCTGTCGGGGAGCCTCGAAGAGGCCTCGAGGGTGCGCAGCGCGGAGCCCGGCGGCTGCGGATCTGGGCCCCGGGATGGGGAAGCGCCCCACGCGAGCGAGCAGGAGCTGCAGAAGGTCTCAGCCAGCGTGGAGGAGCTGAGGTGGGCGGGGCATGGGTGGAGCCCGGAGTAGCGGTGGGCGGGGCCAAAGGAGTACGTGCGGTGGGCGGGGCCTGAGGTGGGGGCCTGGATAGATCCTGGGCTGAGGTGGATGTTGGAAGATCCTGGGGTTAGGCCGAATGGTAGGATCTTGAAGACCCCAAGAGGGAATGCTTGGAGGCAGTGCCTGGCAGGACTTCCAAGAAGTGATTTTTGAGTTTACGGCCATTGGGCTGGCAGCAGATTCCCTCAAGTGGATAGCACAAGATATTTTGGGGACAAGTTATATCCGGAGTCCTGGATCATGGTCTTAGTGGGGTGGGGTGGGGTCGATGGCAGCGTGACCACGCCCAGTCCCCCACCCGCCCCGTCTCTCTGCCCCTGCAGGAGGGAGGTGTCCTCGCTGGCAGCACGGTGGCATCAGGAGGAGGGGGCGGTGCAAGAAGCCCTGCGGCTGCTTGGGAGCCTGGGCGGAAGGCTCGACGGCTTCCTGGGTCAGTGGGAGCGCGCGCAGAGCGACCAGGCGCAGACGGCGCGGGGCCTGCAGGAGCTGCGTACCCGGGCGGACCAGCTGTGCACCTTGTGAGGGCGAGGCCCGAGGGACGGGGTGCAGCCAGCAGGGGCAGTCAGCTGGGCCTGCGGCTTCAGGTCACACTGAAGCGGAGGAGCGCCAGTTAGCAGGAGGGGCTGCCGTGCATAATAAGGCATGAGCGCTGGGGCCAGTTAGGGAAAGTGTGAAGGGGCGGGGACAAATGAAGTCAAGAGAAGCCAATTAGTAAGCGCCAAATCCTAACCTCTCCACCACCAGGGAAGCTAAGCGATGTCAATTAGAGAACTGGATGAAATCAGTGCAGATATTAAAACAAACGGAGCTGGGCTTGGTGGCACAGGCCTGTAATCCAAGTACTTGGAAGGCTGAGGCAGGAGAATGGCCGCCAAGTTCGAAGCCAGCCTGGACTATACGGCGAGACACCGCCTCAAAAAAAATAAAAAAATAAAAAATAAAACGGAGATTCTCATCAGAACAGAGGGATCAGCAACTGCAAGTTCCAGCCCAGCCTAGAAATTTAAGGACTTAGTGAAACTGTCTCAAAAATAATAATAAAAATGGAAGGGGGGGGCCACTGGTGATGTAGCTCAGGTCAAAGGGCACGGGTTTAATCCCCAGTAAGAACGGAGGAAAACCGGCAGGGCGGAATATCGAAGGCTTCACCGAGGCACAGTGCTGGGCTGGGGACGGGTGAAGCTTTCCAGGACCCCACAGCACCGATGCTCTCTTCCTCAGGGTGGAGCGGTCAGCAGTGTCTCTGGCTTCCCTGAGGAGCGAACTGGAGGGGCTGGGTCCAGTCAAACCAATTCTGGAGGAGCTGGCACGGCAATTTCAGAACTCTCGAAGGGGACCTGACCACTCCGTGAACCTGGGTCGGTCACCCCAAGGCTCCTGTGCTCGCTGTGCCAGGTACGGGGGAGCATTCTGGGTCACACTAAGGGCAGTGCATTGAAGGCGATGGGGCACTGGCAAGGGAAGGCGAGTGTGTTGTGGGAGCCAGGCCTTCCCTGTGCACGGAGGGACCAGCCAGGCCCGCTGCATTGTTGGAGCCACGGCTCTTCCCACCCTGCAAGGTAAGGTGAGTGTCTTATGGACCTCAAGAGACTTGCTGCACTTGGAGCATTGCGTACTTCTGGTGCATCTGGGGAAGGTGAGAACGTGGCCGGTGGTGATAGGTGCTCACGGTGTTGCAGGGAAAGCGAGGCATTGAGGCATTGCAGAATAAAGGGTTACCATGCTGAATTCATGGCAGGTCCTCGGGATTGAACCCAGGGACTTTTGCTTTTTTTTGTTGTTGTTTTGTTTGTGGATCGAACTCAGGACCTTGCACTTTCGAAGCAGGCGGCAGCACCACGGAGCTACATCCCGGCCCTCCTTTTTTATTTTATATTCCGAGACAGTGTCTCAATAAGTTGCCCAGGCTGGCCTTGAACTTTTGATCTTCCTCCCTTCCTCAGCCTCCCATAGGGCTGGGATTACAAACGTGCACCACCACGCCCAGCTAAATGGCAGCTTTTGACAGCCAGTGGAAGACAAGGGCTGTCTTTGAGAGGAGGAACCAAAGGACATCTGATGGGTGGTGGGAAGGTTGCAGGGGGTGAACAGGCCCAGGGCCAGGTAGAGATTGGCAGGTGAGTGTGGGGCATCTTGGGAATGGAGTTGGTACCGAGCCTCCTTCACCGGTGACCTGCCTGTTCCAGCCAGGGGCAGCAGTTGTCCACGGAGTCCCTGCAGCACCTGCTGGAGCGAGCGCTGACCCCACTAGTGGATGAGGTGAAGCAGAGGAGCCTGACCCCTCCTGCCTGTCCCAGCTGCCAGAGGCTACACAAGAAAATTCTGGTACCAGGGACATGGACTATCATGTGCTGCTTTACTTTGCTGGCAGGGCAGGGAGCTTGGGCACAAGGGGACTACCCACGTATGACAGGAAGGGCAGGGTTGGGCTGAGCCACAGGCCTCAGAGTGGTTCTGATGCATGAGAAGAAGCAAGCAGGTTGGTGATTATTGAGTCAGAGGCCAATAATTCTGCAGTTTGGTTGATATACTTGGGCCCAAAGCATGATGGGACATTGGATCTGGTGCATTGTGGGACATGGAGACAGATACCAATTTTAAGGTTCCTGGAACATGGGCCTGATTTTTGTAGCTCTTCAGTGAAAAAAATGCATTCTTATGGGGCCATTGAGGCTAGACGGACCAGTGACTATAGGTCACAGTAAGCTCCTGCGTTATGAGAAATGGAAGCATAGGTCTTCCTAGGACATTGTGCAACAGACTGAAGCCCAATGGCTGCTGGAACGTGAGTCCTGCTGCATTGTGGGACATGGAGATCCAAAGTATTATGGGATGTTGGCCTATGAAATGTTGGGATAGATGTGGTGGGTGAGACTGACAAGCAAGGCAGCACAGGACGTTGATGTGGGCAAATGACAGGCTGAATACAGGGCTTGGTGCACTGTGGGATACAAAGAGGGCACCAAGGACTAGTTCTTGAGAGATACTGGTCTGAGACCAGCAGATGTGTGGTCTGGTGAGATGGGAACACAGAGGTCATCCTGTGGGGGGCAAACACATGTCACATACAGGTTAATAGCACTAGGGAACAATACTAATAATTTATTGCTTCCTGGAGCAGACACAGGATCAGTGTATGATGGAATTTGGAAGGCCAGTGCATTGTGGGAGGCCAGGGTCAGGCTCAGGCTCAAGGCATGATGGGAAACTCCGGGGTGGGGTGCGGACCCATGGGACCCTGCCCCTTGCCCTCTGCGACCCAGCTCCCCCTCCACTCCCAGCCCATTCCAGCAAGTCCAGCGGTGCCTACACTCCTCTCCCCAGGAACTGGAGCGCCAGGCCTTGGCCAAACACGTTCGGGCAGAGGCCCTGAGCTCCACCCTTCGGCTGGCCCAAGACGAGGCCCTGCGGGCCAAGAATCTGCTGCTGACAGAGAAGATGAAGCCGGAGTGAGGAAGGAGGCAGAGGGCATGGGAGGAGGGTGAGGTCTTGGGATCAGGGCCTGACCTCTCCTCCACCCGCCCCAGGTGCCAAGGCCCCTAGCCCCGGCTCTCATGTCATTACAGGGAGAAGGTGGCCACTCTGGACTATCTCCACCTGAAGATGTGCTCTCTCCACGACCAGCTCAGCAACCTGCCACTTGAGGGCTCTACAGGGACAATGGGGGGAGGAAGTAGTGGCGTGGCTCCCCCAAAACGTGGGGGCCCAGCCCCCGAACAATAAATAGCCTCTCTTGCTCTCATGAAACCTGGCTTTCTGTTGGCACCGACAGAGGGGAATTAGCGGGACCTGGTGGCTTACGCTTGTCATCCTAGCTACTCTGGAGGAGAATTGAAAGTCCAGGGCCAGCCTGGGCAGTTTAGTGGAACTCTGTCACAGAAAAGGAGGGCCTGGGTGTGTCACTGAGGAATAGGGCACCTACCTAGCATGTGTGAGGCCCTAGGTTCCACCCCCAGCACTACAACAACAGATAGATGGATAGATAGATAGATAGCCAATTGCAGTGGTGCTCACCTATAATGCCAGCATTCAGGAGGCTGAGGCAGGAAGATCACCTGAGTTCAAGGCCAGCCTGCGGGGTGAGAAACAGACCACGAAGAAGGTGTGTGAGACCTGCAAACTGAAGAGCCAGATGCTGAAGTCCAACAGCGAAGCTCTGGCTGAGATGGAACAGCACAGCTTCTGGAGAGGGAGGAAGAGTTCAAGTGCAAGGAAGCTGTGGCCCCAGATCCCACAGCAGCTGCAGCGATGAAGTGGAGAGAGAGACTCAGGAGAGTACCGGCGTCCTCAGATCTACATCTGGCAGAAGTCCTGCACGACCTCTTCTCTGTTTCAGCCAGCCAGAGATCCATGGAAACGATCACACTGAGCTGCATCTCCAGCCCTACCCCACCCTCTTTTCTGGAGAGAGAGAGAGAAAGAGGGAGAGAGGGGGGGGAGGGGGAGAGGGAGAGGGAGAGAGAGAGAGAGAGGAGAGGGTGACACACGGGGGGGGGTACTTGCTAACTGGTTAAACTTTTCTAGGCTGGGCTCAAACTTGTGATCTTCCTTCCTCAGCCTCCCAGAGTACTGGGATTAGGAGTCCTGTGCTACCAACAGCCAGCTGCCCTCGTGGATTTTGAACTTTTAGCAAAGTTTATATCTGTTCTCATAAAAGGCATTAAATTATTTCTATATGTTATGTAGGAGCTCCCTTCATTTTCTGGAGAATAGCCTATCTAGTTTTTTGGGACGAACTTAATAGTGCTTACCCAAAGATTTCATCTTTTTAACCTCTCATTTCTTAGAAATTGAATTGCGTATGTGTTGGTTTTAACTCAAGGCAACATGTATGTCAATGTTGACTTTTTCTTTCTTAGATCTAGTAGGAAAAAAATTCTTTGAGGGGGAAAAAGGATTAAAGGTCAAGGGCTTTATCTATGAAAAAGCAGTAGTTATTTGTGACTTATGGGAAGGAGCTGCAAGCCAACCTTAAAGTGATCCATTCTTTTTTTTGTTTGTTTGCTTTGTGGGACAGGGTCTCACTATGTAGTTGAGACTGACCTGGAACTCACTATGTAGCCCAGGCTGGTCTTGGACTCACAGGGATCCTCCTGCCTCAGCCTCCTGATTACAGGTGTGAGCCACCACGCCTGGCTAGAGTGATCCATTCTGATGAAGGGTTAGCGCAGTGAATGTTAGGACACCTGTTTGGGTTGTGCTTAATTTATTTTAATCAAGATTACTAGATGATGGGGCTCAACAACTGGTTCCATATTATTTCGTCCTCTAATGATCACTTAAAAGGAAGTGTAGTACCTTGAGCTGGGCGTGGTGACACACCTGTAATTCCAGCTCTCTGGAAGACTGAGGGCAGGAAGACCACAAGTTCGAGTGCAGCCTCCTGAGTACTGCAATCACAGCTGTGCACCCCTGTGCCCAGCACAGTGTTCTTTCAGACAGGTTCTGGCTTCCTAGTGCCCGTTTCTCACCGGGAAGAGCTCATCACTGTATTTATTTATTTTTTAAAAATTGAATTTATCGGTACTCGTCATTGTATTTAAAGCCACAACGGAACCAGACCATTCCCCCAGAACCCATCTGTGAGAATCTGCTTCCTGTTACAAGTGTCTGTGTCAGTCAAGGCGCAATCAGGAGAAACAAATCACACCAGCTAGTCTAACAGAAGTTATTGAATATGAAAGTTTATTTAGATTGGAAGGGTAACTAGGAAACTGAAAAGGCAAAAGATCCAGGTGTGGTGGTCCATGCCTGTAATCCCAGTACGATGGGAGTTTGAGACAGGAGGATCAGAAGTTCAAACCCAGCCTGAACAATTTACTGACTTCGGAAGACCCTGTCTCAAAATAAAGAAAGGGCTGAAGACATAGCTCAGTTCATAGGCCTTGGCTTCAACCTCCAGTACTGCAAAAAGAAAGAAAAAGGCAAAAAAGAAGCAACCCTGTGGGGTTAGGGCAGGACAGAGAGGATGACGGTGAGAGTTGCTGAAATGAAACCAGCGAATGAGGGACCCAGTGGAGAGGAACCCGAGAGTCCTTGGCGCTGGGACTCTGAACAGAGAGATCCAGCAAGGCCTGGAACCTTCTCAGAGGCCCCAGTGGTCTGGCATCTCTGTGATGTGCAAGTTCGAAAAATCCAGAAGCTTAATTTAGCTGCTGCCACAAGAAGGCCCTGCTCCAACAGCCCTGGAAAAGAAGATTTGCTGGTGGGAAGAGGAAGCCAGCAGGAAATAAGCAGAGAGCAAATGGGAGTTCCTTTTCGGGGTGGCTGCCGTGCCTGTGGCGCCCCCTATCGGCAGAGGCTAGTAGTCACTTGAAGATGTGGATATGTGATTTTGTAAGGTCCCAGGTCCCCGAAGTCCAGCATGAGAGCGGATGTGAAGCTGAGAGATAACAGCTTAATAACTGGCACCCATAATGAGAGACGTGCCAAGGAGTGGCCATGGCGACTAATCCAGTTCTGTACCCGAGGCCCAGATACATATTTTTAAAGAGTATTTGAATATATTGAAAGACATTTTCCTGGTTAGCTCTTATGAAAGTTGCTTTGAGTTCTGCTCCAAACTCATTTTTTTTTTGTTTTTTTGAGACAGGGTCTCACTGTGTAGTTGAGACTGACCTGGAACTCACTGTGTAGCCCAGGCTGGTCTCGAACTCACAGTGATCCTCCTGCCTCAGCCTCCCGAGTGCTGGGATGACAGGGGTGTGCCACCATGCCCGGCTCTCATTTTGTTTTTAAAGCAAATTCAATCAAAATTTCATGGGGGTGCCAGGGATTTAGCTCAGTGGTTCCGCCACCTGCCTCGAAAGCACAAGGAACCGAGTTCAATCCCCGGTACCAAAAATAAATAAATATATAAATTCATGGGGATCATTTTTTAAAGGATTTGACACAGTTATTCTGAAGGTTGTCTAAAATAATAAAGAGATAAATGAAATAAAGATTTTTTTCTTTATAGAAATGTAGTGAGGTATCTCAAGCCAAGACACAAAAATCTGAGATAAACCAGGCATGGGCAATGCACACCTGTAACCTCAGCACTCTGGGAAGCTGAGGGAGAGGTATTGCAAGTTCAAGTCCGGCCTGAGCCACAAACCAACTTAGGAAGACCCTGGCTCAGAATGTAAAATAAAAAGGGCTGGGAAAAGAGCTCAGTGTGAAGGTCCTGAGTTCAATTTCTTTCTTTTGTACCAGTAATCGAACTCGGGCCCTTGCGCTTTTGAGGCAGGTGACAGAACCACTGAGCTAAATCCCTGACCCCTGAGTTCAATTTCTAACACGACAGAATACATAAAATAAGGGGGCCGGGGATTTAGTTCAGTGGTACCGCTGCCTGCCTCCCAAGTACAAGGTCCTGAGTTCGATCCCCGGTACCAATAAATAAATAAATAATAAGGTGACACTAATCAGTGTGGTCCAGAAAGAATAGAATCGATACAAATATTTTATATATATAAATGTACTTGACAAATATATCAGCATAAGGCAACTGAGAATAGTGACGTTATTCATAATAGACATATTTGAAAAAAGATAACAGGGAGAAGACAGCCATCTACAAACCATTTGCCAATGGATACCTGGGGTGGTTCCATCGTGTGTCTACTGTGAATGGCGATGTTTTGAATACAGGTGTACAAACATCTGTTTGTGTCCCAGCTTTCAATTCTTTGTATATTAGTCACCTTTCTGTTGTTGGTGTTGATGGGTTTTGTTTATTTGTTTAAGACAGGGTCTCACTACGTAGTTGAGACTGACCTGGAACTCACTTTTGCCTCAGCCTCCCGAGTGCTGGGATTACAGGTGTGCACCACCATGTCAGTTTCCACTTTTCTGTTGTTGGGACCAAATTTCTGATAGACACAACTTAAGAGATGAGAGATTCTTTTTCTTGAGACAGGGGTCTCACTTTGTAGTTCAGGCTGGCCCTGAACTCATTATGTAGCCCAGGCTAGGCTCGAACTCCCCCTGGCGATCCTCCTGCCTCAGCCTCCCGAGTGCTGGGATTACAGGTGTGAGCCACCACACCCGGCTGAAAGATTCATTTTGGTTGAAGATTTCAGAGGTTTCAGCTCATTTCTTAATCTCCAGTGCCCAGCCAGGCCAGAACATATTTTTGACTTTAATGAATGCTAATAGAATGAGTACAGGAGCATGTGGTCTTTTGTCTTATTTTTGCTCCGGTCTTGTGATTCTCTAATCTCCCAGACACCTCACAAATGCTGAGCACATCTTAAAAATAACTGTAAAGATTGTTTTTCATTTTGAAACAGTTTTAGACTTACAGGAAATAGCCAGAGTAGTACTCGGGCCCAGGGTGGTGACCCTGTGTCCCCGCGGCTTCATCCACAGCCACAAATCTAATGCAATGGGGGGTGGGGGGAGCATTGATGGGGTTGGCCGTAGAGACACCTCACAAATGCTGAGCACATCTTAAAAATAACTGTAAAGATTGTTTTTCATTTTGAAACAGTTTTAGACTTACAGGAAATAGCCAGAGTAGTACTCGGGCCCAGGGTGGTGACCCTGTGTCCCCGCGGCTTCATCCACAGCCACAAATCTAATGCAATGGGGGGTGGGGGGAGCATTGATGGGGTTGGCCGTAGAGGACAGCCTGGGCAACTCAGTAATTTAGAAAGATCCTGTGTGAAAGGGGGTTGGGGGGCAGGCGCGGTGGCACAGGCCTATAACCCCAGACTTGGGAAGCTGAGGCAGGAGGAGTGTTGTGAGTTCCAGG